GAACTCGAAGAACTCACAGGAGCACCAGCTCCAGCTTTAGCTTGCACTCTGTAATCATCGTACAATCAACTGCTTCGGAATGGTTCTACGATCCTGGTAGGGAGCTAACGAGGTATGGGTCAATCAGCACCTGAAAGATCCTTCTGATCACTGAAAAAAATACCCAATGGCTGCGTCTATGGGTGCGGGCCAGGCGTGCGGAAGCCACAGCCGTTATCATTGAAATCACTTGGGCGTGTCAGCGACGCGTCGATTTGGGTGCAGTGCCAGCTTGTTTTCAATCGATGCGTGTGGTGATAAAGTGGTGATAAAAGGGAAGGCCTTGCCAGTAGCGCCCCACTGACATGCCCCGAATGACTTCAGTGATAAGGACTGTAACTCGGACCGCGCGGTATCTTCTAGGCACACATTAAACAGGCATAGTCGTACGAACACGCTTCAACCACCCCCGCCCCCCTTCCCGAGTTGGTGCCTATTCCTGATCCTTGTTTGAAAGTCGAAAATGCTGACCAAAAAATTAATTCCGTAGCATTTATGCTTGAGACTGGGAAAACTGTGTGACACATTACGAAAATCACCAAATAGATCAATACTCGATCAATAGTTGCGATTGCTGTTCGTTTGAAAATGATACTGAAAATAAAAACGTCAAGCTGGCGAAGGAAATTTGGATCGATAAAACTGAACTGTTGAGTTGCTTACATTTTGTGACTAACTGGTAAACTGGAACTATGAGCCAGATGACGATCCTGATTGACGATTGTCTGAGGACACGTCGGACCTCTGAAATCAATGGCTGTGGGAGTTCGGCCTGGAGCTTGACCTACAACGGTTCTGCCTGGAGCTTGACCTACAACGGGTTCTACTGGGAATTGGACGCGTCTGATGAACCGAGGTGCGGAAGACGATGAAACCACCTCGGGTGGATGTGGCAGTTCTTCGATGTGGCAATTCCTCAGCCACTGCCGCGACTTATTCCTTATTCACGTCAAAATAACCAGACCCAGACACTCGCAGACATCATTAGCAACGCGAATTCGCAGCACCGTCGCAAAATGGATCTCCTGACCCATGCTTGTTTAGGGAACGGCTAGGTTGCGGGTTAATTTCAGTGTGAAAGGATCAGAGGCACGCTTCTTGTCAGAGGAAGTACTGTACTTGTCCTGATGCACAAAGGTGCATCCATTGACTCATTGAAAGACTCCAAGCGTAAGGGTGCGAAGCTCCGCTCATTTGCAAGATCAACCCTCCTCTTTGTAATAAGCTCCGCCCACAGAACTGATGAAGGCCGGCTGTTACGCCGCAAACAGGGCCGGCCTGGCCCCTCCGAATGAATGTCAACCTCTACAAATGAACTTGGACTCTCCTGCCATTCTAGGATAAGCTGTTGTGCTCAGGCTACAATCAGACCGCTCCTTCACGGTGAGTTTGGCATAGGAACTATTGGAACCGAAGTTGTCCTCTGGTCATTGTAGAGATGCATGAACATTCGCGCTTGAAGCTCTGGCACCTCGACCACCCTCACACACTGCCTCAGGCTCCTTTGAATGTGGTGGTGTAGGATAGGAGTGGTTTCTTCGAACTTGTCCCCTCCCAAGCGCAGCTGCCACCACCCTCAAATGAAGTGCATGCCCCCTCCCATTTCCGCTATATGGAGACATGTGACTGAAGGTGAATCTGACGGCTGTCAAGCCAAGGGGACGGACCAAGGAAACTCTGACGATCGTCGCTAGAGCTATTATCGACATTGCAGAAGACTATCATGACGTACTTCTCTTTTCTTCTTCTGAGGTTTCGGCGTGACACCAATCCAGTCCAATTTACGTGTGAGATCGATTTTATGCTCTTTGGCTATATTGTTTAACGAGTTCGTTATATAACTGAAACAGGCCCTGATAATTCAGAGAAAAAGGCCTACTATTCATCTTCTCTGCGACGAGGGCGGGGGAGGGGGAGGGGAAGAGGGTGGAGTCAAACACCATCTGGGCCATCTGTAGGAGTCCCATCAGATCAAAC